ATTCCTGCCGGCACCCCCCGGCCCCGCTCACACCGCCCCATCCACGAGGGATCCCCGCTTTTCCCGGCTCTGGACTCCCAGCACAAGTTCAGTCCTTCCTGGCGTTCCCTTCCCTCCCAGCGTTACAACCTCCTGGCCAAACCTCTTCCCGGGAAGAAGAGCCCCAGCCCTGCTGGTCTTCCCTGCAGCCGCTCCAGTGCTGGGATTTTGGGGATAAACCAAAGGATCAGCCCCCCATTCTCATCCTGAGCCTTCCAGGGGGTCCTGTCTGAGGGGCTCTGGGGCACCCCAGAGCTCCTGTATTGGGGTTTCCCCACCCCCAGCAGGATTTTCCCCTGTGCCATCACTGTGGTTTCGAGGCTTTGCGCCGCTGTGAGGCAGCTCAGGGGGATTGAATCTCCTCTGGAAGAGCAGGAAGCCCATGGGATGGAGTGTGGGGAGGGATGAGGGTACAGGAAACAGCAGAGAGACCCCTGGGCAGGGATGTTCCCCCCATAGCCAACCTGAGCCTGGAGTTTGGGAAGAGCCTTTACCCTGCCCAGTGTCCCTCCCAGGTCCCCATCCTGCTCCTGCAGGGATTGGGGGGACCAAGGGGAGCCCTCAGGCCCCCTCTATGCCCCCAGCCCTGTCACCAGGGGGGCTGTTCCTCACTGCCACTGATTTTAATGCTCTCTGAGGCCATTTTGTCCCCGAGTCTGTCCCCCCCGGGTGACCCGGGGCAGCAGAACCCCCAGGGACAGCTGTGTCACCTCCCCGGGTGGCACCACCACACGCGGGGGGCATTCCTGAATGACAGCACTGCCACACAGCCCAGCCCAGCCGGGGGATGGCCGGGGGCTTTGTCACCCCTTTGTCCCTGAGGGTCTGTCCCTGGGAGTTCTGTCACCCCTTTGTCCCTGAGGGTTTGTCCCCAGGGCCTTTGGCACTCCTTTCTCCAAGGGCCACGGGCTTTGCAGGGATGACAGGGATTGATTTCCCTGTCCATGGAATTCCGGGGCTCTCGGGCAGGGAGGGACTCGGTGTCCCAGCAGGGACAAAGGCTCCAGTGCCACCACCACCCCCACCACGAGGGCCCATCCTGGTTGCACAGCTGGAAGGACAGGGATCCAAGATCACATCCCAGGATCACCCTTGGGATAACCTCCCCCCTCCTGGCTCCCTGCCTCCCCCTCCCCTCGCTCCAGCCAGGCTCGGGGTGGGGGTCTCTCCAGGGCAGGCAAATCCATGCCTGGGGGTCTGTGCCGGGGAACAGACGCTGATCCCCGTGTCGGCCGCGGGGAGGGCAATTCCATGGATCCAGCTGGATTCAGAGCCCCCTTTCCCACCTGGGGCTGCCGCGGGGCTGGGC